TTTTCCATGCTGTTGTCCAGCTTCCCACAGCATAGCTCTTCTGCCTCATATCCAGCATTGTCCAACCTCACCCATCCCCACTCAGCACCACCCTGCTCCCAATCATTGCTTCCATTTCTTATATCATGGGAATTATTTTTTCTAGTACAGCATTTTTGTAACAAACAAATATTGATACTGAGTGGACTATCAATATATGACTGTTAAATAATACTTTATCCACATGATAGGATTTCATGGAGCTGTAAAAAGAATGAAGTTCTTTCTTCAATGATTAGAAATGATCTATACACTGTATTCTTAATTTAGAAAAACAAAGTGCCCTGAATTTAGTATTCTATGTAAGAAAGGGGTAGAAATGAATGTATATTCATAGTTGCTGTGTTTGCTTGTGGGGGTTATTATAAGACAGTAACAACTAGTTGCCATGGAATTGTGGCAGAGGGAGTAGACAGGAAAACTGGGGAAGGTAGTAAGACTTTTCACCATATGCCTTTAATATTCTTTTCATTTTTTATAAACATGTGTATAAACTTCCTACACAATAATAAAATAATTGCATTTCTCATATTTGTCTTAAAGGATGTATTAATTCAATCTCTTATCCCACTTAAAGACCCAGAAAGACCCGCTTAATTATACATATATGTTTCTCCAACTAGGGAGATATTTGGTTAAGTGGAACCTGATGTTAAATCAAGATATTTTGGTACACATCTGTAATCCCAGCACGTGGGAGGCAGAGGCAGAAGGGCAGTAAGTTTCAGGCCAACTTGGGCACACAGTGAGTTCAAGTCCTGCCTGAGCTACACAGCAAGAGCATGTCTTAACAAGCAAGTAAGCAAGCAAACAAATAAAATATAACAACTGAAAGTCCATTAAAACCAAGGGGTGGAGATCTAGCTCTATGGTAGAGAATTTGACTAGCATGTGCAACTCTGGATTTGATCTCCAGCAAATACACACACAAAAAATATTTTGGAAAATCTTTTCAGAGTTTAACAAAGGATCTAGGAGCTCAAGAAGAATATTAAGAGATAAAGGTGTGTATAGATGTGCCATACACTTTCCTTACATACACTTAGGCCTTAAGTTCAAGTGTCTGGTATGGAGAAACTATAACTCTTAGCAAAAGAGAAGAGGCTGCCACAGTCCAAGGAATTCTGCTCTGAAACATAGCACCTACCTTAACCATGTACTAGGTAGCAAGAGTGATAGAAAACTATCCTCCTAGAACTCCAAACTCCAAAGCAGTGAACCACTGCAGCCACATATAATTAATTGGCTCAATGTCTAAACTCTCTTATCTCTGACTCTGAGAGCAGTAGCTTCTTACTATATTGAGTATTTCTCTGTAATTTCCTAAATTGATTACAGAAATATTTGTTTTAGATGTCTAATACCAACACTAGAATGATATCATTAAAAGGTATTTCACATGATGCCTTTTAGGAGCATGTCTGATACTGATTTCATCAGAGGTACCCACATGGCATCTAAGCAACTGCCTGAATAACCCAGAAGTTCTGGGGAGTTACTAATGTTGGATAAACTTTGACAAATGAAAGAGGAAGTCAGTAGGTAACTTTTCCCTTTTCCCTACAAAGAGACAGTCATGAGACACAGTTTATCTTCTAAGGTGAGTAGACCCAAAGATCAAGCAATCGATTAAACTTGGTGCCATCAGGTTTCACAATGCAAACTTCTATTGGCTTTATAGGCCTCTTTCTTGGATTAATATCCTTTGTCACTCATGTCTGCTCTTATGGAATGTATTCCCTTGTGAAGGAAAAGCTCATAAGTCGTTGGCCTTCTGGGGAGCCCAAACTAAGAAATAATGCTTAAATCTTACACTTACTATTTACTAGTAAAGAAAGAAAACTCATTTAAGTCATAAAACAACTCCATAGGGTAACTACTTTTATTATCCAATGAACTGTGATACATGAATAGCAATTGATTTGCCTAACATCACATTGTAGGGGCTCCAGATTTAAACATAGGCAGTTTGGCTCCTGAGTTCATCTTTTAACCACTATCCTAAAGAACCCACACCACTAAATCATGCAATACTAACTATGTATTTTATCTGGATTACATGTTATACATTTTTATATGAGTTAGGATGGGCTGAGCTATATTGTGTAGCAACCTCAAAATCTTTTTAGTTCACAAAACAACAGATTATTATTTGCTCCCATTATTTGTCTACAAGTCAGTTGCCTGTATGTATGCTTCTGGTTGTCTTCAGTATAGGACAGCCTAAGGGGCACCCTTTAGCTGGAAGTTGACTGGTTTTATGATAGTAGGAAAACAGCATGATGAATTTTGGTCAGATTTCATTGGTCAAAGAAAGTGATAAGGCTAAGCCTGCTGCTGCTTCCATCACCTAGATACATACTTATAATTAGTTTAAGGAAGGGAAAATTGGCCAGAATAATGTGCTTAAAAACTCAGCTCCCCAAGATCCATACCATGTTAATACTCTGTCCTGCTTCGGGACTGTATGGAAAATCTTCTCTGCTCTAGAAAGAAGGCTCTCACAAGATGTGCCCCCTTGACAATAGATGTCACAGCCTCCAGGAGTATAAGAAATTTCCAGAGTAAGAGGAGGAGTAGAAACTTCTTCCAGATGACTCTGTGAATGAGAAGAGTCAGTGTAACAAAGGACAGACTTTAGTCCAAAGAGAGAAAGTAGGAAGATATCTAATCCACAGATGCAAAGATCCTTGGGGCCAGCAGCAGCTCCAGGTACATAAAAAAGAGAGGGCTCTAAAGTGATTGCAGCCCTAACACTGACAACTAACTCTTAACCAGCTCAGCCCTCAGCCCACGTACTGCACCAGCTCAACACATTTGTTGCTGTTATAGTAGTTTGTTTTCTCCTCTTTGAATGGTACTAGAGATTGAGCCTTCAAGAGAAGACTGCTCAGTAAGAAGTCAACCAAATAAAATCCTAACAGATGTACAAATCACAACCTAGAATCATAAGAGATATGAAAAAAATTGCATATGTTTCCTCCAAAATCTCATAATTCCTCAATAACTTAATCCAAAGATACTGAAATGGCTAAGTGTCAGGGAAAGAATTTGAAAATCTGCTTTTAGAAATTATCAGCAGCTTCAAAGATAATTCAAACAAATAGCTTAGTGAAGTTAATCAATTCAAATTTTAGATGAGAATGTCAGCAACATGAATTGAAAATTCAACCAGAATATTGAAATTCTGAAAAAACAAACAAACAGAAATGTTAGAAATGGAAAACTAATTAAATAAAAAACACAGCAGAAAGTATCAGCAATAGACTAGATCAAACAGAAGAAACAATATTAGGAATTGAAGATGAAATCAAGGAAATATTACATTCAAATAGCAATAAAAAAATAAATAAGCATGACCATGATTTTCAAGAACACACACATGATCAAGAGATCAAACCTAAGAATCCATGGTATAGTAGAAGGAGCTAAAGCACAAATTAAAGTCACAGAAAACCTATTTAAGGAAATCACACCAAAAATTTCCCAAATCTAGGAAAAGATATGGACCTCCAAATACAAGATGCTTATAGAACATGAAATAGACCTGACCAAGAAAGAACTTCACATCACATTATAGTCAAAATTCTAAAACCACAGAACAAAGAAAGACTATCAAAAGCTACATAAGAAAAACACTAACTTACCGAGGTAAACCAATCAGAATTACATCAGACCTCTCAGCAGAAATCCTAAAAGTCAAGAAAGTATAGAATGATATGTTTCAAGTTCTGAAAGCAAACAATTGCCAGCCAAAATTACTATATCCAGCAACGTTATCCTTTAAAATCAAGTATAAATAGAGACCGACCTTCCAATATAAGCAAAAACTAAAGCAATTCATGACCACTAAGCCAGCACTGAAGATGATACTTACAGGAATCCTACACACAAAAGAAAGATAGTCACAAGCACGAGAGTGCAAGAAAGAATAGATTTCAGGAGAGGAACAGATAAGCAGATAAAAAAGAATCAAATATGCTCAACTCAATTAACAAGCACCTAAGAGAAACAAGGGAGACAGAAAAGTACAAACAGCACTCAAATCAACCAGGGAAGAAAAAAATGAAATGTAACAAGAATCAGAAAAAACCTCTCAGTAATAATTCTAAATGTAAAAATGTCTTAAGTCATGGACTAAAAGACAGATTGGCTTGTTGGATTAAAAAAACAAGATCCAACTATCTGTTGTCTGTGCACGAGACAACAAATAGACACAAATGACCTACCAAAATCATATAAAGAGAATAGAAATAATTTAAACAGATATATAATGAGCACTGAGATTGAATCAGTAATAGTCTCCAAACAAGAGCCCAAGACCAGATGAATTCATGGCTGTATTCTCTCTGATCACTAACAGCAATGCTCCTCATACTATGCTATAAAATAGAAGAGGAAGGAATACTACCAAACTCATTCAATGAAGCCAGTATTACCTCAGTCCCAAAATCAGATAAGTACACAGCAAAAAAGAAAACTATACACCAATTTCCTTGATAAACAAGTGTGGAAAAGTTCTCAATAAAATACTTGCAACTGAAGAAAACAACAACCCAGAATCAGGAGAAACTGAAATCGTCATGCAAAAAGATGTATTTGGAACTTTAGTTTACAGCATAAACAAAAATTATGTCAAAATGAATTAAAAACCTTGATATAAGAGCTAAAAGTATAATACTCATGAGAAAAATAGGGTACAACTTCATGACATAGGATTTGACAATGATTTCATGGATATGATATCATAAGCCAATAAAAGAAAAGATAGATACTTTGGATTTCATCACAATAAAAAATATTTTGTATATTAAAGGACAGTGTCAATAGTAAAAAGTCAATCCTTTGGACATGGAAAAACATACTTTAGATAAGAGATTTGTATCCAGAATATATAAAGAATACTTCCAACACAATGATAAAAAGACAACTCAATTTATTTTATTTCTTATTTAGCACTCATCATAGTACAAGTAGGTTTCATGTGAAAATTCCGTATATGCATACAGTTTATTTTGAGCAAATTTAAATGAGCAAAGTATCTGAATAGATACTTCTTCATGGAAGAAATACCAAAAGGCAACGAACACCCCAAAAGATGCTTGACATCATTTATTATCAGGAAATGCAAATTAAAACCATGATGAGATACATTTCATACACAACAGAATAGCTAGAATCAAAGAGTTAGAAAATAACAAGTGTTGACAAGGATGTGGAAAGGTTGGAACCCATATACATTACTGATGGGAAGATACAGTGGTGAGTTGCTCTTCAAAAACTGGCAGTTTCTCAATTTATCATAGATTTACTATATGACCCAGCAATTTCACTCCTAGTTATATGCCAAAAAGAAGGGAAAACCTACACACAGAAAACTTGTTCACGAATGTCTATAGTGGCACTATCTAAATAGTTGGATGATGGAAACCCCCTAAAATGCCCATCAGTTGATGAATGAATAAACAAACATGGAATTATTCAGCTCTAAGAACAAATACTGATTGTGTTAGTCAATTTTGTGTTACTGTGAAAAATACTTGAGATAATCAACTTACAAAGACAAAAAGTTCACACTTTTGGAGGCTTTAGTCCATGATCCATTGGTCCAATTGCTTTTGCATGTGTGGTGAAGCAGCACAACACATGATGCTGCAAAACCACCCACAACATGGACAACAAGCAAGATGATGGGGTCCCATTGACGGCATGCCTGAAAAGTGACCTAAAGACCTTCCTGTAGGCACTGTCTCTTAAAAGTTCCATCAAGTCTGAATATCACTGTCCTAGGGACCAACACTTTAACACATAGACCAAGATCCTGAATGCAGTGCTCATACATGCTGAAATACACGGATGAACCCTAAAAACCTCATGTTGAGTGCAAGAAGCCAGTCCAAAAAGACCACATATTATATGATTCTACTAGTATGAAAGCCCAGAATAAGGTAATGTAAGTGGTTGTAGGGTTGAGGTGAGTGCAAGGATAGGGTAGTGACATCTAATGGGTATAGGCTTCTTTTTTGAGGTGATGGTTCCAATAACTGTGAATGTACCAAAACCAATGAATTTATGAAACTTAAAAGGAAACTGAAATAGGAACGAAGAGGAATATCTGTTCCGGTACTGCTGTAATTTTAAATAAGGTTGTCAGGGAAACTTGAGAGATGCAAAATACTGAAAAATATGACATTTTTAAAGAACATGTCCACACATATCAATAATAAGTAGAAGATCCTAGGGAAGAAATAGGCAAAGTTGCTGGACTGGACTGAGCCCAGGAGTATGTAAGAGAAAATGACACAGAGATGATTGGAATGTAGAGCATGTTGAACCTGGGAAGCCTGTAAGTTTTTAGGAATGAGTTAGAAAATCATTTTACGGTGTTGAAGAAGAGTGATAGCACCTAATGTTTCATAGATTATTCTGATTGCTGGGAGTACAGTAAGCTAAATGACCAGTAAGGCAAGAAGAAAGAAGGTTAGGTAGGAGAATGCATTGTCAGATAACTGCAAAACTCCCGTGTCATACAGCAATAAGCTTTTATTTTCATGCTTTAGTGTTCCAGCCTATTTAGCCTAGGCTTAGCTGGTGGCTCTGTTGATCTCAGGTAAGTTTGTGGATGAGTCTAAGTGTTGGATGGGGGTGGACTGGCTTAGGCTGGGCCCACATTTGTAGTCATGGAAAGTATGACTTTGATCTTTAAGTGGATTGGTCACAGAATTTTTGAGGCACTCTTCTGACTTGGGCAGATTTTTATCTCCATATTATAAGTGTGTAAACAAATTTTGAGAAATTAAGCGGCTTGCTTACATTCTGCTTCTAACAAATTGAAAAGCTAATTGTTGGTTGTGGATCTTCAACAAATCTTCCACAAAGTGCTCCTTATGTTTTTTTTTCATTGAGATATATAAAAGGGATCTTATCCAACATATTAAAAATTTCATGAGATAGGTATCACTGCTCCATTTTATAGGTAAGGAAACTAAGACACAAGAAAGTGTAAAAAATCTATGCAGTTTTCATACAACATATTAGAAGCAAAATCAAAACTCTAATCCAATGATTTAATTTCCATTTTTAAGCCATTGCTGCCTAATAAAGGCCACATTAATCTACCTTTCTAAGAATCCTGAGCCCCTTCCCCAGAATGACATTAAACAAAAGTCCACATGTTCCCTGCATACTCTCCACACTTACCCCAGTCCACTAGGCTTCTTTTAGAACTTGCACAGAAGGACAGCCTCATCTTGGGGAAAACTTTGGGCTTCAACCACAGAAATCACTAGATGTCTACATTTCCTGACCTCAAACATTTGCAAGTATTCTGTCATAAAATAGGAAGTGTGGCAATTATAGTTCCCTTTTCTCAAAACAGAAGGATTATGATTTCCTTTCTGTTGTCTGAGTTCTGGGACTTACCTATCATTAGAATTTGGTTTATTCTTTTCTCCAACACAGACTCAGCCTCTCCTCCTCCTCAACTGTGGCACTTGATTACTCACGCCATCAGGGAACTTTCATCTCCACAAGGATTAACATAATTTCAATATCTACCCCCCAAAATATGGATTATTTCTGGAAACCTCCTTTAAGCCAGTTCTAACCTAGTACATTGTCTCATCTTTAAAAATTATAAGTGGTCATGATAATGAACCAAAAATTATGAAAGCTAGAAATATAGAAACAAAACTTAGTGTTGTAATAAAAGATATAATTTGTGACAATTAATTTTTACTAATGATATATACAGTCATTATTGTGGTACATTATTATTAGATACAAATGGAAATAATTTACTTAGGTGACTAGTTTCCATTAGAACAGTCTTCCATATGTTTAATTCTTGTTACTTAGATCAAACAGTTCATCACTTTTTCTCTTTTATGTCCTGAGGTATAAAGTAGCTATATCTTCATGTGAATTCAGAGAACAGCAAAGGTGCCCAAGTTTTTTCTACCTCTTTCTTTCAGTGTAGCCAAATCAACTCCCTGTTTTGTTTCTCATATGATTCCATTTACTGGTATTCTCTTTGGTTCCATCCTATTTTTCTTTGTATGGCCCTCTTCTTTTTCTGCATTTAGGTTAGCTGGACCAGTTGTGGGTCAATATGATGCCAACCAGTGCAGGACTTATCTGTATCACTAGGCTGTACCTGGTGTCAGGTTTTCTCTAGAACTGAAGAGAAGAATATATTGTAACCATTGGGACCCAAAAGATTTTCTCAAATTCTTAAAATTTACTAAAAAAAAACAGGGTTGGGGAATAAAACCTGTATAGGGAAGGGAATCTGCTCATCAACACTCCAGTTGCAAATGAATAATGATGTAATAGAAATTTATACCAGGACAAGAAAAATTTTAACTTGAGTATTTTTTTCAGGGCTTTGCTGAAGATTAGAGATCCTATTTGTTTAGTTCCTTGACTGACTGGTTTTCTTCAGAGGGTCTCTGAACAGATTCTTGTCCTTTCCAGATCCCTGTCCCCACAAACAATGTCTTCTTTTCCAAGTTCAGCTGTAGTAACTTCCCCAAGGCATGGCCTCAATTCATACTGAGGAGAGTCTTGCTTTCCCACCTTGTAAGGGAGGCATGTTGATGGGGGTGTGTGTTTGTCTGTCCTCTTGAAAACAGAGGTGAGTCTCAGAAACTGAGTTCATCCCTTTCCACCCATTCTGCCTCCTATCAGTTCAGTCTGCAGTTTCTCCCCAGTAGCATGGTCATGTGCTCTGAGGATAAAACAAATTCTGTCAACAGGCTACACCCTGTTGATCAGTCAGAAATGCTCAGCTCTTTTGAAACAGATTATATTTCTATTCCAACAGTGCTGTTTCTGTAGAATTGGCCTGTCTCTTATAGATGAGTAGCATCCAGTTCCCAAAAGAATGTTGAAGGTCATTTTCCAAATAAGCAAGGACCTCTACTAGTGGGCAAATAGATAATAGAATCTGTAATAAACTAGAGAATCTGTGAGGATTCAAAAAGCATGACAGGAAATGTGGTCTTAGGGATGTCTGGCTCCAAACAGCACATCTTTCTGATTGTGTGTATATGAGACTATGCGTGGAAGGAGTGGCACATTAACACTGAAAATTCATTAGGGAGTTCTGTCAGGAACCCATGAAAGATGGATTCAGTGATCTGATATTCTGTATTTCCTGGCCCAGTCTCAGTTGCTACTACTCTTTTTTTGCTATCTCTGCAAGTGTGTTTGTTCTTGTCACAGAACTATGATCACTTGGCATTTTTCTCACAGATCCAGCGGTAGTGGATGTCACATGATGCAGCATCAAATGTCTTTGTCAGGCCTATGGTGACACATCTGAAGTTCTGATTCTGATTGGTAACACTGAAGGAGAAAAGAAATCATGGATAATGCTCATTGTTTCAGTTCTGCCTTTTACTGATCATGGGTGCTGTTTGTGGAGGGGCAGCGAGTAGGCTAGACAACACACATTTCTCCTGCACCAGGCCTTACATTCCAACTCAGACCCCCTATTTCTCAATCCAGCTTCCCCAAATCCAGCTCTGTATCACCTCTTCCTCTCAATTTTCCTGTGAACATCCACAGGTTTCCAGAGTCTTGGATTCATTCGTGTCTTTAGTTCAAAGCATCTCATGAGGTATCTCTTTTTTTTCCCCAGAAATAATCTTTTGGTACTGTATGTATGTTCACAGTAGGTGCACCAAAAAGAGGAGGAAAGAGATATCTCATCTTTTCCTAGACTACAGCTGGTTTTAGGAAAAACTTGTGTGAAGATATCTGTTGACCTTCTCCCACCTTTTTTGTGTGACTGTGAAGATTCTAATTTAAAGGAAATGTAGTATGAGTTTTGAACTCAAGTGAATGTGGGATCAAATCGTGGCTCTATCCCTTTGTAGCTATGTGAAAGTCAACACATTTTTGACCTTTGTTGTCCTTCATTCAACTGTCTATTGAGTAAGGAGTAATAAAAGGTTTTCTATGGCAAATACTGCATGAAATCATCTGCCAAGGGCTGACCATAGTATCTGACATTCAGTAGACATGAAGTGAATATTAATTTTCTCTCCTCTGTAGGGAAACCATGTTGCAGGGTGACTTGCTCCCTGATTGAGTCAGCATTTTCTTTTTCTTTTCTTTTTTTATTATATTCATATGTGCATACAATGTTTGGGTCATTTCTCCCCCTTTCCCCCCTGCCCCCTCCCTTAACCCCCCTCCCGCTCCCTCCCTTACCCCCCCAACCCCTCGCTACCAGGCAGAAACAATTTTGCCCTTATCTCTAGTTTTGTTTTCATATGAACTGGGAATATTACATTCTCCACCAGTTTATCTCCATGGAATGATTCATTGGATATAGCTTTTAGGAGTTAGAAATTCACAGTTTTAAAGAATAGACAAGTTGCCTATAAAAATCTTTCTTTAGATAAAGGAGCTATATCTAGGGAAACTTGTCAAGACTTAGTAAGAAAATGTTATCTGTAGTTTAAAAGAGACCTCTGAGGTATAGCAAAAACTGCTGTGTATGTAGATTTGTGTCAGTCTTACTTTAAATGAACTAATTTGTTACATGAATACTCTTTTCGCTCCTACTTTTTTATTATGTAAAATGTTTGCTATTTCCCATAGTGAAAAGTTTGTAGCAAATGTCTCTGCAAACAGATAGGTTAGAAGGAAATAAACTAGAAAAAAAGTCAAATTTCAGCCTTTGAGCTGTTCTGGAATGAATTTTGGTATGGTATTTTGGCACAAAGCAAGATCCCAAGAAAAATGTAGGATGTTAACATACTTGCCATTGAATACAGAGTTGTTGATCCAGCGCCACTGCCACCTTTTCTCTGAAGGTTGCAGTAGTAATCCAATAAAATACTTCTCAGTACCAGCTATGTCTTGAAGATACTTCTAGAAATTAAAAAATAAACAACTCAACAGCTGGTCCTTTGCTGCTGCCCCTTGCATCAATGGACTCATAATTGTATCTGATTTTGGGAATAAGGAAAGCTATCAGGATAGGAGACTGGCTACCAATGGCACTGTGC